TAGATTCATTAAGTTACCGATATTGCTTATTGCTTTCATTATTTATTTAATTACAGCAATATCACTTCGCCCGATTGGGATTGATCTAGATCGGCCTTATATCTTGTTTAACACATCGTTTGTTAATCTAAGTTTGATCTAATATGCACTTTAAACGATGAGTTATGTTTTATCGGCTGTTTTATATCAATTTTAATCGTGCATAGCGAGCGGTTAAGATGTGTTTGATCTTGAATAGATCTATTGACTAGCGAAAACCGTTCCATAGCCCGTTATCATGGCATGTGTGATTCTGTCTCACATCCCACTGTTAGCATCGTGGAGTGGGAATCGTTGTTTAGTAGATCTGTTCCTGAGAGGGCACGATCTTGACTGTGCGCTGCCTGAATCGGCTGTTTTAGCTGATATCAAGTGCTTTTACGAACGGTTCACGTCACGAGACCATTGAAGTAACGCTAGGTTGAAAGATGTGTTAGCCCCATGATCTTATTATTATATTACGGCCTGCATGATTCCGTCTCATGTCCCACTGATATTAGTAATAAGTTAGGGTCGTCAAGTCTATTGTTGTTTCTATGGCCTGTATGATTCTGCCTCATGCCCCACTGGCCATAGCGATAAATGAGATATAATATGTTCATTAGATTTATCTCTATTAAATGGTCGAATGATGATGAATTGTTTCTTTTATAAAAGGGATTCGGTTACTTGCAGTCATTGGCTCAGTATAAACCAATTATTGTTAATATCTTATTGCCATTGACCAATATTTATTTAAAGAATGGTATTCATCCTGAACGATAACCGATTCTTCTTACAGAACCTCATGAGCTTTAACCGATTTATTCTTCTGAATATGCTGGAATCGACTATTTAGTCGATCTTCTTTCATATCGGCTCTCAAAGCCGCACATTCGGGACTGTCTGACAACACCGACATGTTCCGCCCTTAATTACTGATAAACTTTCTCTCATTGTCAATTACAGGGTCAAATTGACTGGCACGTCTCGGGAGGAGTGCGCAGGATCAACCATCCCTGCGCTGAAGCTAGGCAGATCTCCAGCTCCATCGAGCGGACCCTTCCGGCTTGCTACGTGTGTCCTCGGCGCGGGATGAAAATTCCGTGTCGACAGCACCTGATATGTTGCCTGTATCTGATGTCCTCATACAACCCCAGCACGGTTCCTGTCATTCAGACCGGTAGAAAATTCAGGCTCAATCCACTGCACTCCATAACCATCACAACAGAAAAGAAAAAGAGGCCTGTGTAGGAGAATGAACTTACAAGAATAAATCAACAAAAATTAGCAATACAAAAAAGCAGAAGTAATCTGAATGGTTACTATCTCTCGACAACAGGATATGTTGCCTGCAAAGAATATTTTGTTTGTTATTAGTATGTATGGCCATGAAAGGCATTATGCATTTTATCCGTGCATCGTCTAGTTAACATGAATCGAACCTGGCCGATGGGCGGGGGCGTGGGGTGCTGTAGGCCGTAGGCGGAGTGAGGCTTCAGACGCAGGAGTCGGAGGCTTCAACGCACACAAGCAGGTTACTTGTATTCCTACGCAGACACACAGCTGGTGCGGTCACCATGTCAGTGCTAAGGGCCATCTTCCCCAAGGTCCCGTTCGCTGGTCTGAACTTTGGCTGAAACTGGTTGAAAAACACTGTTCCAGCTGAATTGTTGTGAGAGAAAAACACTGTTCCGGCTAAAAAAATAAGCCGAACAAACCAAATTTATGACAAGCGAACGGGCCCAAGTGGACAGTCTGTCCTCCTGCTTGGAAAGGAATGGGATATCCTTGCCTCTGTGGTTTCTGTAGTTGAAACTCTCGTCATTCGAGTAATGAAGTTGCTTGTACGAAGTGAAGCATACTGGTCGAGCCGCATGCGGCAGGCAACATAGCCTTTTTGAGCTGATGCATCACAGTGACTACAGGAAGCAAGATGGCAAAAGGAATAGGAGTGGAGGACTGGTGGGACTCCAATGTCTACTCCTGGTCCACCGAGGTCCCCGCCCGGAACTTGCCATTCAAAAGGTGCTACAACTAGTGTCCACAACCGAAGAGGACATCACGAAATCGCAATGCAGTACGGAGACATATGAATAACGAACAATTGGTCACCTGGATCTGGATGGAGGATTTGAAACTGGAGGAGAGAATCCTTGTGTGGCACATCGCCACTCATGTCTACATGGAGTGGTACCCACACGACAATATGTGGCGAGTACGAGTAGCAACGCGGGCTCTCGCAAATTACATGCATGTTTTTCCTGCTGGCAGCCAGTTCCTACATGCTGCCTTACCCTGTTAGTCGACAGGCGTATGTGCAGTTGTGCTCTGATGCCATCACTCATCTGAGTTTGTGCACCACCGAGATGCTGCTCAAGGCCATATTGAAACAGAAGGAGGCCTTGATGGAAGGAACTCCACTTCAACCAGATGAAGGCATTGGGCGACGATGGAGGAAGAGAGGAGAAACCACTGGTGCCCAGACTTGTTCGATGAATAGTACACTGGACAAAAGGATGCCAGGTTGCTGCAATGTTGATCCACATCACGGCGAAAGAGAGAGGAGAGTCGATGGTACAGACATCATCACGGTAGAAGAAGCAGAGAGGACAAAGAGAGAAAAAGAATCGATGGTACAGACATCAGCACAGAGGAAGAAGACATCATCAGGGAACAAGCAGAGAGTATTGTTAATGGTGAAGTCATCCTAAACATGGTCTTGGAAGTGTTGCAAAGATGCTGTGCTACACGGCCTACTTGTGCAACGAGAAATCTCATGCCAAACACCTGATCGACGGTGGTGAGATCATGACCATCGTTACCCTTCTCATGATATACATGAAGAATGGTTTAATTTTTAAAAACACAAGCAGAAGCGCTACGCGCGGCAGGCTCAAAGAGGCCAGACAGATAGTGTGGTCTAGCTAATATAAACCAACCAACGTGAGTAGTATTCCTGTTTCTCTCTCTATATATATATATATACCCTATGCTCTTAAAGCTATATACCAACCCCGTCCTCACAGAACACTGTTTACCAACAGTACCCTCTCACAAAACACTATCACTAGAACAGTACGGATCCATGAAACAGTCACACCTTGTACGGACCGTAACGGACCTCGTGAACAGTACTGCATGATATGCACAGTAATAAACTGTTTCAACAGTGTGTACCGGTTTACAACAGTTCGTACCGTTAACCATTAACGCCCTTTAATCCGTTTGCAACGATATAAACCCGTTTCCAACAAGCACTTACCCGTTAACAACGGTACATACCCTTTAAACATTAGCAACCTTTAATAATAAGCAGTACTCGACTATTGTACCAACCCATGCTCCCTCTTCCTTTCGATACAGTACCCCGATTACTACAGCGAACGATTTTTCCCTTTTCCTACTGCTCTCTTCTTTCCAAGCTACGTACTGCTTTTTTTAACTTACTTCTGTTTTTTCGCTACTTTTGCTCTCTTCCTTTTCAACGCTAGACACTCCCAAATAGTTAATGTTTTTTTATACTAGGTTAGACCATTTCTTTCCTAAAAAAATAATTCTGTTACATATCAAAGCAGGCCAATTCATTTTGTGCGAAGCAGTGAACAATACATTCTCCGCATATATTTGACACTGTTATCGCCCGCGGCACCGCACAGGCCTAGCTAGTATCTTATTATTATTGTATCGTACATGCATACATGTTATCCCTTTGATTAGATGTTACTATCTATTAACTTGTTTATACTGACTGCTCATGTCTAAACTCACATGTACATGCATTGGTTGTATCGAATTTGAGGTGAAGGCATCTTAATTTTTTTTAAAAGTCTCTCCAATCCAATTAATATAAGGCTTCGTTTCAATTTGATTTAGAATTGTCGGGAACTCCACCCTTGTCAATGAAACTGTAAAACAAATTATATTTATATTTATATCTTTTGTACTCTATTAAATTTCAGCTTTATCTCATGTTTTTTAGACAGATATCTCTTTTTTTGTTGTATTTATTTATTTGTTTATTTTTTTAATAACAAAGAGAAGAAGCAAACAAAAAATCGAGCATGCAGGCGCTGCACGGGATTAGCAGGCAGGAGACGAGGAGGGTGTTTCCCACTACCAACATGCAGGCAGGAGACGAGGAGGCATGTGTCGTTAGTTGCTTTGGACTGAATTAATTCAATTATTTTAGTGGTACTCCGATCCATTAGCTATGAATAGGAGGATGATTCGTGTAGGTAGATTTTGAGTTGGTAATTGAGCAACTAAAACATTTATGTACATTGAGGTGGCATTTAGGACTTGTTTGGTGCGGCTCTGCTCCGCGTGCTCCCGTGCCAGAGCCGGAGCCCTTTTGCCGAAGCCCGAAATCGTGGCTTTGCCTACCGTACGAGAAAACGGCTCCTCCTCACTCATTCCACGCTGGAAGCGCTCCTACAACCTACATTGTTTGGTGCGGCTCCACTGCGGGAGCCGGAGCCAGAGCAGTGCAGGAGCCGCACCAAACAGGTCCTTAGTGTGTGCTCCGGCTCCGTCTCCTACTAATACTGTAGCAGCACTGTATCACGGAGCCGGTAGAGCTCAAAATCGTGGCACTGTAGGCTCCTCTTTCAAGTTCATTTTTAGTCGAAAATAAACCCCTCCGTGCTATAGTGCGCCTACAGTGTTTTCTCAGAGGAGCCGGAGCATCTAGGAGCCATATCAAACAAGACCAGAGTTTGTAGTTGAACAAGAATTACTTCTTTCATTATACAATATTGATTTCGCGTAGATTGCATGGATTGGGATGTATGGATACATTGAAATGACACCTGATCTTGAGAGAATCAAATTAATGTGTCACATCACTACTATGAGTGCAGAGAGGCAACTCATTCTGCTACCACAGCACATAGGAGTACTCCGTAGGCACTGTACATGGGTAGGGTTACATTACATGGGTTAAATGAAACTACTCCCAAGTCCCAAGTTGCTACTACTGCCTATATACGTGTAGCTGACACTGACGAAGGGGGCACGGTGACACCGTCGTTTACTGATCTTGCATCAGCAGCAGCTGTTGGAGTTAGAGGAGGCGGAGCGAAGGCACCTGCAAACCTGAGGGGCTCCTGCATCATCGACAGCTCTTCCTGCAGAGTCGGATGGCGGCGGTGATGCATCGGTATTGTCCGCTTGTCTTGCAGCGTGTCCTGCACCATCACCACCTCGTAGGCATCGGCCGTGCGGACCTCCTGCGCCAGAGCGCACGAGTAGCAGCAGAGCCACAGCATGCAGTCGGTGAGGTCAGGCTTGCCGCAGCAGGCGCGGTTCTCGGGGAGGCTGAACCGCCTGCGCATCTGGATCCTCCAGAAGCCGCCGTAGAGCAGGCCGAGCACGCAGAGGAAGACGCCGGCCAGCCCCAGCGCGTCCCTGACGGCCTCGTCGTCCACGCTGATGGCCGCCAGGTCGAAGATGAAGAATGGCGCGAGGCACAGGAGCACGAAGGTAGCGATGTGGACGTACATGTTGCCCAAGCCGAGCCTGCTCATGTTCCAGCCGAACACGCAGCAGCTGCAGAACATCGACAGGTATGCCAGCGACATATCCTCCCATAGATCCTCGAACAGCCCACCGACCCACTGCGGTGGGTTGCCAGCGGACTCGCCATGGCCTTGTCGTGGCACCAATGAGTACCTCCTCTCGGTCTCGGTTGTTTTCCGTTGGAGCTGTGACTCTTCGTCGTCTGCCTCCGGCTGGGCCTCGTAGTCTTTGCCAAGAGGACTGAGGTTATTGTACAGGCCGGCAACGGCCGGTGCGCTGATGGCAACCGATATGGTGAGGGCAACTCCAATCACCGGACGCTGTGGTCTTCGGTAACCAAGGTTCAGGCCACACAGAGCGTACTGAGCAAAGCAGTTTAAGTGGAGCAGCAGGATGACAACCGTCATATGCTTCCTCTCGTTGGGCTTGCAGGTTCCATCCTTGCAGTATACTTGCCGGAGCTGATGCATGTCGCTGGCTCTCCAGCGGCATAGGAGGGAGAGGTGGTAGAACCTCCTTGGATGCTGGTACAGGCACATGAGGGTGAAGAGCGCGTTCAGGATTTGGTTGTTCACCTCGAACCACGTGTCTCGCTGCGGCTTGCTTGGCAGGACGCGGTTGAGCATCCTAGTCATTACCATGAAGAGGATGGCGCCAGAGACGCCCACGGCGAGGATCCAGACGGACAGAGCCATGTTCATGGGGTTCCGAATCCACTCCTTGGACTTGTCCCACAGGGAGCTCCAGTCGATCTTCTTCACAAAGGGCACCGTGAAACGTCTTGATGTTGAAGATGATGGCCTCTGATGAGATGACGATCCTACTGACGAGCGGACAGACGAGCCAATATTTCTGCGCTCATCTCCAAGCATTTGTCGAGTGGAGGAAGGTGATGAGGTGGACTGCCAATCAGATTCGGATGGTGGATCGTAGTAGTACTTGTATGCATCGGAGACTGAATTCTGCATGTGGTCATATGGATTTCCATTGTCATTATTTGGACTGACATTACTGGGTTTCTCCGGTAATCCTGCTGGATGTTGTTGGCGTGAATGATCAACAACACTGTCACCAATTTTGTGCCTCGGATCATCGGCACCACCCAAAACGACCATCTTGTACCAACTAACTGATGACGAGGAGCTCTGATGGATGGAAGCAGCAGCAGCTGCTCATAGCCTCAATCTACAAGTAAATTGCCAAATTAATAATGAATACTCAGTGTCAGTACAGTAGAGTACGTACACCTATACAGCCGTACCGTACATACAAGAAAGCACTAGCTAACTTGTAATTATTAGTTGGCTTGAATCGAGTTTCGTGAAATGAAATAGCTAGTGCTGCGTTGTGATGTTACAAGACGTTCACTTTGTAACTCTCTGTTTCGTGTTACATAATCAAGGATTAACACAATTATTTAAACTATTAGTTGAAGGATGGCAGAGAGGAAAAACCCTTCCTTCTGAAGTAACCACATGGATTCCATTCAGAAGTTCAGTTTCATGCTAACACAAGGATTACAAGGTTAATTTTCATGGTAATATCTAGTAGTTAGGAGGTAAATGAAACGCTACACACATACTCCTACATAAATACTCTGTAGATTTTATTTATAGGAGAAGAAGAAAAGCAATAATTAAGACAATTAGCTAGGGAGAATAATCATTAAAACAATAAATAAATCAGGCGGGGTTATTCCTGAAGGGTAGGAATTATCTTGGTGACCTACCTGATGGAAGGGATTTGGGATGGACGAAGCTGAGCTGAGCACGCCGGGAGCCAAGAAGGAGAGGAGATGGTCGTCGGTGGATGGTTGGATCGACCAGAGCAGGCGAAGCGAAGCCTGCAGCTGTAGGTGCAGGGGAATCCAGTCCAAATCCGACTCGACGGAGACGCACTGCAGTGGGGCTGGATCGCCTTCTTCGCCTCCATCCAACTGGAAGTGGAAGGCGGCCGGCCGGAGCTAGTTTCCCGAGAGAGAGATGATGGCAATTGGCAAACAAGAAAGGTTGCTTGGACGCCTCACCTCCACCTGAGAGAGAGTCGACAAGTTCAAGGTCAATCTTGTTGGCCTGCGCCTTCTCTTGTGTCCACGGCGACCTCGTCCACCCGTTTGGCCTTTTGGCTTTTTCATTCAAACAAAACCAGCCAGCGGCTTTTAAAAAGACCTGTCTATTTGGAACTTGGGTGATTTCACCCCCTCTGATCACTCAAGTAGTTTGAGGGAACAAATCACACAAATGGAACCAAAAACAAAATCTGAGTGATCGAGGCCCTATGATCACATGAATAATCCTAAAGGTCAAATCACTCAAAACTAACTAGAACCACAATTCGAGTGAAACAGGAGTTAAAATCACACGAATTTTGCATTCCCTCGGAACACCTTCATGCACGATCAATAATAGCAAGAATTTGCTAAATCATAAATACAATAAACCTTGTAAATTAAATATTTAAAATAACAAGAACAAATGATATAGAGAAAACTAAGAACAAAAAAAATTGTTCTATGGATGAATCAAACAAATCAACTACTAAATTTTTTCACTTAGTATTACCTACATCAATAATACATAGCGATTACACCTGATTAAGCACTGTAAGTATAGTTCAATTCTAGTGTAAATGAAAAAAAAATTCATAGTCCATAAAAAAGTAAATTTGCCAAGAAGAAAGCAAGATGACAAGGAACAAACACATAATCAAAAAATCAAAACTGCAAATCAAAAAAACCTGAATGACATTTCAAAAAATAGAATAAAACATGAATTATTATAGGAAAAATAAACTTCAAACAACATTTACACCTTGCCAATTAGTGAGATCCAAGTAGTTGGACACAAAACAAACGAAAAAAACTATCAAAACAAAATTCTCAGGCCATTGCAAGAACCAAGAAAATCAAAGAAATTAACAAACTACGGAAAACAAAATTTTTTGTATGGAATGCAAAAACCAAAAACTTTCGGAGGCCATTGGATAAACCAAACATATCAAATAAAATAAGCAAAATACAAAAAACAGAATTTTTGTATGGATTGCAAATACCAAAAACAATATGAGAGCATTGCATGAAACAAACAAAACAAAAAATATACAAAGTACAAAAAAGCAAAAAAAATCTATGGAATGCAAAAAACAAAATGATTTTGACGGCATTGGATCAAACAAACAAATCAAAGTAAGGTACAATGCAATAAAACTATGAGACACACATGTGCCTAATAAACTTTTCCAATTAGTATTACATACATTCATAATACCTACCAATTACACCTGATTAAAGACCGTAAGTATAGTTGAACTCTAGTGTAAATGGAAAAATTAATTCATAGTCTATATAATAATACATAGTACTAGTACTAGGCAGGTAATTGATAGGCAGTTCACGAAAGCAGCGACCATCCCAGTGACCAAAGGGACTAGCTACCAAACACCACGTGCCCAGCGCACGTGTTCTCATTGAGCAAAATTTTAAAATAAATTGGACACCGTATAGGACATCACGATGGGGGCAAAATCAAATCGGATGAACAAGAATTTGTGTGACGAATGTAAACAAATTACTCAGGTAAACGATAGCTTTTCTGAGTTAGTAACTAAAATCAGATTCCAGGAGAGAAGAATTTGACACGAATTTTAGTTCCTTTCATGAATGTTAATTAGGAAAAATAAATGGAAAGGAGATGAAAGCAAAAATTAGGTAACAGAAAGAACATTTGCATCCGAGCAATATAGTAAGACTAAATAATTTTCAAGTTTTGGAACTTGCATATGTAAATGAACAAATAATCAAAGTTACAAAATCCAAAATTTTATTAGGAATTGCCAAATAACAAAATATTTGAGCCTTCAACTAATCAAACATATCAAAACAGATAAATTCAAATGACAAAAAAATTAGAAAAAACAAAGAAACACATATTATTCTATGAACTGCAAATTAACAAAAATAGAGTGCCTTCAATTTTAAGCATTATACCAAAGCATATGCAACAGAACAAATAATCAAAGTTACAAAATACAAAAGTTTATTATGGATTGCAAAATAACAAAATATTTGAGCCTTCAATTAACCAAACATGTCAAAATAGGAAAATTTCAAATAACAATACAATTGAGAAAAACACAAATCTTCACATTAATATTAAGTTACACTAATACTACCTAGAAATTATACCAAAATAATCACCATAACATAAACCTGAGTAAAGTGTAAATCTAGTATAAATTCATAGTAACTAAAATCAAATTCTAGGAGAGACGACTCAAATCTTAGTTCCTTTCATGAATGCTAATTAGGAAAAAGAAATGGTAAGGTGATGAAATAAAAAAAACTAGGTAACAAAAAGAAGATTTACAACCGAGCATGATATATGTTGTGAAACTAAATAAATTTTAAGAATTGGAACAATGCATATCAAGATCAACAAATAATCGAAGTTTAAAAAATTGTAAAAAAAATATTTGAGCCTTCAATTTCAAACATATAAAAAATATAGGGAAATCTCAAGTTACAAAGGAAAAAGGTGAGAAATAACAAAAATGGTAGTATTTGATTCATGCTGTTGAAGGCTTTTGCTTGTCGTGCATGAAGGAACATGTGAGAATTAAGCTGCTCCATGGAACACTCCCATCTTGCCCACGAAATGGCTGCACTTCCAAGCTAACTGTAGAGGGTTCCAAGGTATTCCTATCACCTCAACTATTAGAGATCATGGCACAGCGTATCAGTGAAGAGCAAATCCCTCCAACCCAAAAGATTTACTGCCCTTATCCCAAGTGTTCAGCCTTGATGTCCTTGAGTGAGCTGATGAAGCCAATGCAAGGAACTTGCTCAAAGTACACTGTTGCTGATGTTGTCACCTTGAGGAAGTGTGTGAAATGCAGAGGCTCTTTTTGCTTCAGATGTAAGGTCCCCTGGCATGATAGGATGACTTGCAATGATTACAAGAGAAGGTACCCGCATGGCCGTCCAGAAGATGCCAAGTTACTGAACCTTGCACAACAGCGGCTGTGGCGGTAATGTGAGATGCAGGCACATGATTGAATTCGCAGAAGGTTGCTACCATATGACTTGTGTGTAAGTCTTTATTCTTGTTTATTTATGGTGCCCATTTGTTATATTTGATCCTGGTGCCAATCAATATGTTGCTGCTTAGGTTTGTTTTCTATAAAGGCCACGTTTAGTTGGTCCCCAATTCGCGCCGCCGGATTTCATGGAGGTACAATAGGCTTTTCGTTTTTATTTGGTAATAATTATCCAATCGTTGACTAATTATGTTCAAAACGTTAAATCTCAAAGTACAAACAAACTGTGCAATTAGTTTTTGATTTCGTCAACATTTAAGACTCCAATGCGTATCTGCTTAAGTTTGATGTGACGGGAATCTTCTTTTTGCATAGTCTTGAAATTGAGAATCTGGGGTGAACTAAACACGCCCAAAATCTTGCTGACATGTCTGCTGCTGCGCACATTGGTTGTTGCAGGTGCGGCTATGAATTCTGCTACACATGTGGGTGTGAATGGAAGGAGAAGAAAGCAACTTGCACCTGCCCACTGTGGAGAGAATGCAATATCATCAGGTATGATAATGAGGACGACGACGAGGAGGAGGACGAGGATTACTACGATGAAGAAGATGCTTACTATGGACGAGGCCCTCTGGTTCACCTTCCTTTTCATCGAAGGGCTGTTCACTAGGACATCACCCCACCCCACCCCCCATCTTCCAGAACTTGTGCAAATCATCCAGGCGTATTGCTATAGAGGAGGCGGAGTAGTACTAGTAGCTTTCTATTTCTGAGTATGACTGGTGGGCCTGCGTGCCAGCTATTGTAAGAGATGGCTTATAAGGAATAGAACCAGAACACGAAACACAATAGAAAACGCGAGGACCTGACCCAAGCAAGTTGCTCGTGAGGACATGAGCAACGGAGGGTTTCGGTACAAATAAAATAATACTAACAAGTATTGAGATTACTATTCACAATGCAAATTATCACCGCTCGTGGTCTCAACCTTTTTTGTTTCATCATGTGTCACTTTTACCTTCTCTCCCTCTGCTTTTCTTGCATGCACCACCTTCTCTCCTCCTAAGCATGTATACGTAGTTTCTAGAGGTAACTATGACGGCAGAACATACTTTTTTATATAACATGGCATCTCTGATTCTACGTGGATTTTTGGGCTACCTCTAGAGCCACTGCGTTGGGAACCCCTGAGCCACCTCGATCTCTCACGTCGGCGGCGGGGCTACCTCTAGAGCCACTGCGTTGGGAACCCCTGAGCCACCTCGATCTCTCACGTCGGCGGCGAGCTCACCTTGCCGGTGGCCACGGGTGTGACACCAGGTTACATAGCTTTTCTGGGATGACCTGTGTATTCTCTCCAACAGTGCAAGGACCATCTTCAACATCAGTATCCTTTGTTCTTTATTTTCCTCGTCAGTCTTTACATCATTCATGTTTATAAGGAAGGCTATGGGTCATCGTTAAATAACAAACAAGAAGCGAGCTGTCCTATCCAACAAAAGAACAACAGCTCCAGCATGTGACTCTATCCTCTAGTACTACACAGCCATCTCAAGGCCTACGGGAATGGAAATTCGGCAAATTTCCCAGAGGGGCAAAAGACGTGGCAACCTAAAATTGGATTCAAATATAAAAAAGGCAGATGTTCTGTTGCTTCTCTGCAACGTGAACAGAAAAAAAAAATCTGTTACATGGTTTCAGTTTCTTTGCTCCATAGGTGTTAACCAGGTAAACGTTAGATTATCCTGTGGAGCCCACCATGGTTTTCTTCTCCTGTATTGACGCCCTGGATTCACTCTCATCTTTGATCACTGCTTTCTTGGCAAGTTCTCTTGTGTTGACTCACTGGACTTGTTCTCATCTTTGATCATCGCCTGCTTGGCAAGCTCATAGCCTGCAAAGTTCATTGCTCCAAGAGGAGCAATCCAGAAGAAGCGGGGGATCGCGCCCTTAAAGAGTCCAAGTGGACCCTCATTTCGAAGGATGGAGAAGATTATCATCTGCATAGACACTGGTGTGCCTGGAGGGGCAGTCATCATCCGTGTCTTCATCACATCAAAGGGAGTGGTCACTATTGCCGCATGAAGTCCTCCAGACAATGCCCCAACTGCCACTGTTTCCCATGCTTCCAAGTCTCTCTTCAAAATATGTTGTGCTGCCTGCAAAACCAAGGCGGTCATCATTAGATATGTCAATATGCAAGGCATAGTAGTACTAATATGACAGATGTAGCTATTATTTACAACTTATGACAGACAGTAGCACTAGTAAGTGGTAATTGATTTAAATGAGAGAATTTCTACCCCTAACACAGCTCCATTTGGTACCAACTTTCATGTGTAAAAATAAAGAAATAAATCAAGTCATTCAGGTATTTACATATACAAGTAACAAACTACCATCAAGGCTGCCTTTGTGGAGTCAGAGGAACGACAAAATCAGCGAAAGGTAGTTAAGAAAGGTAGCTGACTTGTTAACAACATAGGGATTTGAGAATGCCACTTTGAAGGTCCAGTGAAAACATAGAATCAATACAAACTGAGGATACCTTCTTAGCTTCTGCATAGAGGCACATTCCAGCAACATAGAAAGGAACCTCATGACAGAGTGTGGCCCCAGTGCCACGGAAAATCCCTTTGGACCATCTTGTCTCATGGTGCCAACAATTGCCTCCCCTACATTGTTGAAGATTCCAGCCTGCAAACGCTGCTTAAGAACCTCACAAGGGATACGGACTGCAGTCCCTAGGACTGTGCTGCAGAAGGAAGCCATTGATTGCACCTATGGAACAAAAAGCATATCATCAAGCAATTCCATCGAAGCACAACAATTATTGCAGAAACCAGAAAGTTTCTATTACCAATACAAAGTTCTATTCTACAAGGTGGGATCAAAGTCCCTTTATTGTAGAGAATATAGAGTTTGCACACAAGAAGTACTGGAGTAGTTAATCGTACCTGAATCTCTGGAAGTGTTGGAGCAACATTAATTAATACAAGCTTGCTTGCTTCAAAGATTCCTGTCCTCAAACCATGGCTGCAAATGATAGGATTTGAATTGTGAGCCTACAAAAGTTTTGCATATAAACCAGTGAAATAGTACAGACCTTGAAAACTGGCCAAGAATTGCTGGGATAGAACCTCGATACAATCCCGAAGCCCAATTTGTGGAAGCTTTGAAATGAGCTCTGGAAATGAGAGCGTAGATGCTTGGAGACGGTCTGATACACAAAAAGGTAAATCCATTGAATTTGGGTATTTTGGTCGGCAGATTGAACTTAAATCTTATACTAAGCCATGAGGTTACAGATAATGCCTTAGCATACCACATACATATTGATTTGTGATGCGTAATCAGGATCATAACAAAGGAAAATCTCAAAGGGATACTATACATAGAAAGTTTCTAATTCAATGTAACATGCTTTATTGAATCACTTGTTTGAACTAAAATGGTATAAACAAGCATGCTACTGTACCTTCATTGAATCAATAGGATGCAGCAGAGAGGTAGAGAGCGCACTTGCAAGACCTCCAGCTAAAGCAGACTTCAAAACACTTCCTGTGGATATTTCTATAGGTGGAGTAACAGCAACAACAGTAGCAGCTTCAAACCATATGTTCCTGGATGCATTTGTAAGTGAATAAAAAATATAAGATGGAAAGAGAGCACATATAATGATGAAAGGTAGTCAGAATTGGTGATAATTGAAGAGTCAGTATTCACTAAAGCCAATTCAAGCATAGGTTTCTTCTAACAGGATACATCAGACATACCGAGGATCATCCTCAAGGCGTTCTGAAGGAAGTAGAAGCATGAAGTTCCGGAAATGGCCATATGAGATTGATCCTTCTGAATCAGAATTTAAATACCGTGAGCATGGCAGCGCATTATCTTCATTGGCCGAAAGTCCAGCACCTTTCAAGGAAGTCAAATTTGATTCTTGTGAAGTGTTCCAGACTTGCTCAAACACAACGTGGTATATGCTCGGAGAATGGTTGCCTCCTTCTGTTCCATCAAGGATAAAAATTGCTTCCACCCAATTGATTTCCGAAAAGAAGTTGCTTCTTGTATGGCGGAACAATTCTCGAGCATACCTCCTTGGTAACCGCCTCTTCCTCATTGCAATTTCGAGATCTTCTAGAGTGACTTCGCCATCACCATCTCTGTCTAACTCTTCAAAGAACCGCTTCCCTGCAGCAGCAGAACATCAGTTACAATATCACCTTATGATCCAACTAATACATAAAAGAGCAACCTTTTCATAGGTATCATTGCATTATGTTATGCAGAATGCTGAGTTGCTAAGGTACCAATTAGAACTGTAGTTTGAAAATTGTAAGATGGATAGGCGCGTAGCTTGACTAAAAATGTACTGACAGGAAAAATAACAGGATTGTACCGCCCTGTTGTTGCATGGGTCAATTAAAATGTCTAATAGGCATATCTTTGATAGTAGCTCACCTAAATTTTCTAGATACAGTGGTAAAATAATGTATAACATCAGAACATATTTTATGCTGTAAATTGTAGATATGAATGCCATATCCTGAATCTGAATATTTGAAGAAGTCTAGTGATTAAATTGTACATAATATAATTACTTTGACTCTAAAACTGG